TGCATGAATGGAGCTGTGGCCTATGGCTGCCCAGGCTGTGCACTGCCCAACTCCAAGGGACTGTCTTAACAAAGATCACAAAGCAAGGAGTACTACTTGGAACAGGAAAATGTAGGAGCCTTGATCAAAGGAGAATACTGATTGAAAAGAATGGCTGCTACGTGTGCCAGAAAATAAGGACATGATTTAAAAAATGAAGGGGGCATGTCACAGAGACACAGGTGCCAGCCTATACCCAAATGCAGAAACATAGGACTGTTTGAAGAAACAAGGACAGCAACATATCATAGTACACTGAATGGCATAAGAATCCACAAGTCCATGCTCATAATAGCAGGTAAGTAAAAAAATAAATAAATAGAAGAGAGAAAAAAAGCCTTTCCTTACAGGAGAATGACGGCTAACAAATACAAGAAGGAATGATGGAGTTAAGTTAGAAAAGCACTGTTTTGCCACCTTCATAGTAAAAATGGAATCAGACAGTAATCATCAACAGCTACTTAAAAGGGGAGTGGTGGGGGGAGAAGATTTAGGGAAACAGCAAGAGAGTTACAGAGTCTAAAAGTATGTACTCTCAAATTTCCCAGTAATGGTAATTATTGTAAGTGAATGGTAATTATACAGCAGAGAAACTGGACAATACGTTAACCAAATGATCAAAGCTAAGATCACCAATAAGGAGCAAAGGACATCCCTTGGCACTATCACAACACAGAGCAGATTAGCCAAGACTGCGTCGCCTCATCCAATCATGAGGACATGGGGAAACCCAAACTGAGGGTTGTTTTAGAAAATAATTTGTCTGTATTCTTTAAAAAATGTCTATATCATGAAACACAAAGACGGCTGAGGAACTTGTTCCAGATTAAAGGAGACTAAAGAGATACAAGAGCAAAATACTATAAGTGGTCCTAGACTGGATGTGGTCCTGGAGGGGAAAAAAAATACAGTAAGGTCTTATTGGGACAATCAACAAAACTGGAACATGGACAGTAGATTAAAGTATTAAATGTACTGAATTTGCTACCAGTGTTGTGGTTACATAAGAAGATATCCTTGTTCTTAGGAAATACACAGTGAAGTATTAGGGGGATGTATGCTGTCTACTCTCAAATAACCGAGAAAAAAATAAATAGTATGTTTGTCTGTATTTTTATGTGCATTTGGTGGGGAGGGAGGAGGGTAAGAATGATGAAAAACAAATGTGGCAAAATGATGCTAAAAATGGGTAAAACTGGGGAAATGGCACAAGGCAGTAAACTATACTACTGCAACTTCAAAATAAAATTCCAAAAGCAAAACAAACAACAGCAGCCCAAATAACATTGAGGGGTGTCAGTATTCAACTAGCTTGAATAAAGAGAAAAGTAATTCGACTTGTAATTAGTAGTGCAGGAGAAAGAATTAAATCCTTAGAAACATTTAGTTGCTAACATGATCATAATCATCACCATTAACATTTATGGAGGCTTACTAAGTGGTAAACACTCTGAAAGGTGTTTCTCTTTCCATCTTCACAATTACCCTAAGAGAAAGGCACTATAATTATCTTCACTTTATAGATGAGAAAACAAAGGTTTAAAGAGGTTTAGTAACTTGCCCAAAGTAATATAGACAAAAAATGGCAGAATGAGAAATCAAACTACGTCGTTTGATTACAAAGCTGGTGGGCTTTACTACTCTGTTAAACATTTTAAATTACTGTTTATTAACTGTCCTCAAAGAATGTGAGATTCATTTCAACCTAGAAGAAATTCTGAAAAATTGGTAACATATACATATATAAGGGTTTCCTCTAATTAAAAGTAGAGCACAAATAAGCTAGGGAGACATAAATGATTTTTGGTCTCCACAATGTATTATATGTTCTCTTTCTTCCAAGGGCTAAACCTGGCAATAAATAGATTCTTGGAAACAAAATGTATCTACTATAACCTTGAAATGATCAATCATATCAAGACTCATAGGTCTCCATTTTACACTGTAATCAAAACATACTCCCAGGCCAGGTGTGATGGCTCACACCTGTAATCCCAACATTTTGAAAGGCCAAGGCAGGTGGATGGCTTGAGACCTGGAGTTTGAGACCAGCAACAAAACAAGAACTGGTCTCTACAAAAAATTTAAAAGTTGGCTGGGCATGGTGCCAGGTACAAGCCTGTAGTGCCAGCTATGCAAAAGGCTGAGGTGGGAGGATCCCTTGAGCCCAGTAGTTCAGGGCTGCAGTGAACCATGATCACACCACTGCACTCTGGCCTGGGTGACAGAGTGAAACCTTGTTTCAAAACAAACAAACAAAAAACACTTATAAAACCACACTGCCTTCTTATTTACCTGTTTGTAAGATTTTTTTTAAAAAAAAACTACTAAATCACTAAATTTGTCTTTGTAAAGCAAGTTTCATGGTGCTATCTTAAGACATGAAACCCAAAACAAAATGATCAGCTGGAATCTATTTGTACCTCAAAACTTCTACTTAAACTTCTTGTTGAAAATTCAGGAAGACAGCTTAGAACATTTAGACACTCATGACCAACCATTCATTCTATTTTGATTAATGGCAAATGATCATGAACTATTTGGTCCTATTTCAAGCTCTTCTTTCTTTAATATATTTTCTCTCCTTTCTGTTGAATGACGTGATCTTCGTGCCCATATTTCCTCTTAGTCTTGGCACCTCCATTTCATTTTTTAAAAATGTATCATTTGCAACACAATCTATCATCTTCCTTATGGATCAAAAGGAAGCTGCTCAACAATATCACATCTTTCTTCCCAATGGAAGCTGGATGGTTCTTTTAAAAAAAAGAAGTTCCAAACACCAAAATATTTACAAACATTTGTGGGTGTTTGAGGAAATCTTATCTCACATTGTGGATGCTCATTCTAGAACAATGGGTTCCCAACACTGGCTGTATATTTTAACCATGGGGGAGCTTTTTAAAATTCTGGTATCCAGCCAACACTCCAGACCAATTAACTTCTGCAGGTAGGACCCTACATCAGTCTTTTTAAAGCTCTCCAGGTGAATCTAATGTATAACCAAGTTTGAGATCCCTGAGTCGAACACCCATGGCCACAAAGAATTATCTTTTGAGTGCAGATCCAAAGGCTTCAGGTGTTTTTTATAATTGGTATAACTTGTGAAGGACTGTATAGTCCAACTGGTGAGTGTGCACACAGGAAAAGGTAACAATGAAGACTGAGGACGTGTGCTAAATGAATGGGACACATCAGGAGACCACGTGGGGCTGCGGAGGATGGCTGCACCCTCCTGATGAAATGATGAGCTGAGGGAGGCAACTCCAGCCAGTCAGAGACTGTGTAAAAGGAAAAGTGTCTAGTATGTTCAGGAAACAGTGAGATGACTAATGTACCTAGAGTGGGAGGTTCACTCTTTGGAGTAGAAAAGATCAGTTTGGAGAAGTAGACTAGAACCAGCCTCTGGAAGGCATTCAACAAGTCAAAGAATCTAGTGGCAGGATGCAGTCTCTAAAGGGGTTTGAGGAAGTGATAAAGTGAGGGCACTCTTGGCAAGACGGATTTGACAGAGCTTTTCACAATGATTTTGGGGGAAAGACTAAAATGTAATTTCCTCATAGAAGAATACAGCAGATTAGGTAAAAGAATATAGCATGAAGCAACGTAGCAATTTACCTTTCTTTCCAGTTTTCCACAAAGAAACAGAATTTGGATTTGCTGAAAATAGCATGGATCTCACTGCTAGTAGGAACCAGTCTGATGAAAGAACGGGTAGGGTAGGGGGTTTGTTTCATTCTCTGCCCCTATGAAAATTGCCCCATTTGCCTGAGTTACAATCTAACAGATGTAATGCTTTCTACAACTGCACATTTCTGTCTTCTTCCATGAAGGCTATTCTTAGGGCTGGGAAATACAATTCTAGAGGACTAAGTTTTAGGCCAGAGAAATTTTTTTTTCTTATAATTTTTTTGAGTAAGGATTTTTGAGAAGCTAAGTAATCCTTGGGTTGTATTGGCAATTGAAGATTCCCAGGAATCAAAAATGGTACCAAACTATTCATTCATTCATTAAATATTCATCAAACAAATACCATTTGCTGTGTCTAGACAGTGGGAATACAGTAAGGTCCCTTTTCCAAATAATAACTCTCTGGGCATTGTAAAGGGGTTATTTGAGAACACAATGGCAGTCCAGGGCTACACAATTTACGGTTAGTTGATTAAGATATTCTGAACAGACTTGGAAAATACTGAACAATAATAGAGAAAAGACTAAGATCCTTTATATAATGTATTATAAGTGCCAGAAAAAGCATATGGTAACATAAGTTTTTTTTTTAATTGCATTTATAAGCTATCACTATTTAGAGCTTATTTAAGCCACTAAATGTATCCCAAGCTCCTAGAACAGTACTGGCACACAGAATATACTCAATAAACATCAGTTAAATGGCACTGTTGCATTGAGTCGAGTTCAAAGTGAGGTGAGAAGGCAGGTATTACCCTCATTTAACTAAAGCAGCGAAGGCATCTCAGTTGCCTGTAATCTAAATGCCTACTGAAAGGAGAGACATATCCAGGTATATGAGCTACCAAGCCAATACTTTTAAAATCAGACCACAGTGTTAATTTGTGACATGGAATCTTGTGAAATCTTCACAAAGTCATTCACAAAAGCAATGCTCAAACTGTATACAGGATTCCTCAGAGACATGACCCCCTGAAGCTCCGAGGTTGGCTACATGTATTGATTTTAATTCCAAGACAATAGAGGTGTTTTATTTGTAAAATTTCTATCTTATAAATACCTAATAAGAATCCCCATTTAACTACATGCATTAATTAGAAAGACTTCTAACAAAATGAATCTGAGCTTTCACTGATCGATAATCACACACAAATGTTTGCTTCTCTAAGTCATTCTACTTTCTAGTTTACAAACAATTCTTAGAGGAAAAGTTTAGCTATTCACATCCCCTTTGTCTCTCTGCCTCGTCTTGGCCCTTGGAGGAGTCTTACCTGCATAATGTACCGGAATCTCTATCTTTGGCCCAATGACATAGTGACCCTCCTCCAAGCTGTGGGCAGTAATGGTGGTCCACTGGCGGCAGGAATGAATCAGCAGGTAGTCATTTTCCCGCAGCCCTTCTACGCACTCTCCTAGGAAATATAATTTTATATGAGAAACTCAGAATTCATCATCTGCTTACTCCATACTTTGCAATAAAATTTCATTAGTTAAAACTTGACGAATGCAGAAGTTGATAGTTCATCCCAAGATGAGATAAAGTTTACCTCTGAATTGGTTTTTTTTTTTAAAGGGTATTCCACACCAAGCTGACAACTGTACATAGAAGTCCATAAAAATGTTTCCCACTGATTTGCAAATAGATATTCAAATATCACATTATACCTAAATGATTATATTTTAATGATAATAAAACATTTATTAAGTGCCTAGGATACATTAGGTACTCTTTAGATGCTTTGCATATACTGTTTCATGTAATAAGATAACTTTAGGAGGTAGGTAAAAGGTAATGCTCCTTCTTTATAGGTGAGAAGAATCAAAGTTTGAAATGTTAACATGCCTAAGCTCACAGATTTAATAAACTGAAATGCGAGGATTCAAAGCTAGGTCAGATGGATTGAAAGCTTATGATTTAATCACTACAATAAAGCTACAAAAATAAATAATCTTATCTCTGTTGAGAGAGTACTTGAAATTAAATGCTCACAGTTCCTTTTAAATTTTATGTTTGCCAATTTTCTCTGGCCTCCTACCAAACTTCTCAATCAATTAAAAATAATGATTTATAGCATACAAATGAAATTTCTTTTCATTTTAATATTTTCTGAAGTAACTTTTCAGCATTTGAACTGACGACAAACTATTTCAAAAGAGAAATTCATTCCCTGAAACTTAAAAGATGTTTTTCTAGATGCTGAAATAATCCATCCCCTTAATCCTGGTTTAGTAATTTTAAGTGCTCAAAGAAAATACCTGAAAAGGCTAATTTTTTATATAGAAAACAGCCTTCCTTATTTTGACACTTACTATATTACAGTAATTAAGCTATTAGTGATTTAACTGTGTGTTTTGAAATGGCATTTGTAGATCTCTCAAAAATTATTAAAAGTTTCAGTACTTTTGCAATAAATAGAGGAGACTGTAATGATCAACTTGGCTATCCCAACCTAAACTATCTAATTTGATTCCAAAACAGTAATGCAACAACCTTTAAAACAGTGTTGGCCTGGCATAGTGACTCATGCCTATAATCCCAGCACTCCAGCTGAGAGGACTGCTTGAGTCCAGGAGTTTGAGACAGGCATGGGGAACAAGGCAAAACCCCATCTCTACAAAAAAAAAAAAAAAAAAAAAAAAAAATTAGCCAGGTGTGGCAGTGCATATCTGTAGTCCCAGCTACTCAGGAGGCTGAGATGGGAGGATCGCTTGAGCCTGGGAGGTGGAAGCTACAGTGAGCTGAGATTGTGCCACTGCACTCCAGGCTGGGTAACAGAGTGAGATTCTGTCTTAAAAAATAAAAATAAAATAAAATAAAATAAAAAGATTAAAACAGTCTCAAAGCAGGAATACTTTATAGTACAAAATACAAAGAGTTAAAAACTTTATAAGAGGACAGGGAGGGAAAAGAAACAGATCTGGAAGTAGAGGTACATTAGCAGGAGGGGCAGAATCCAATTCATCAGGGGGGATTTTTCAAATCAGGCTCTGCTGCCCATCACCTCTTGTGAAGATGTGGCCTCCTTTTTTCAGAAAGATACTGCCTGGGGGCCAGTGGTACTCATGAGCCCTTTGTATTCCCTCAACCACCTTAGGGCAGGAAGGAAAAATCTAGAACTGCTGCTCCAAAGGAGAAATCATTGTAACCTGCTGCAGGAGTTACAAGCAGCAGGTTTAGAGTCCCACAGACCTGGTCTCAAGCGATGTTCTGCTACCCACCACGGTGTGGTCTGGGGCAGGAACCTCCTCCTGTCACCTGTGAGACAGAGTTCTTAATACAACAGGCCCTGCTGCACAGCGTGGATGTGGAGATGCACAGAGGCACTGAATGGCAAGTGTGTAGCACCAGGTCTAGCAGGTATTAGCAGTGATCAGGACACATAAGGTATTAATTTTATGGTACGCTTTTTTCCCCCTAAAATGTAATGCTTCTATAAATACTGCAATTCAAGTTATGTTAACCTTTAACAAATTAGGAAATGACCTTCAGAGGAGTCGAGAAACTTGCCCAAAGCGCACAGCTTAGTAAGTGGCAGAAGCTGACTTTGGGGTCTCTCTCCATCTCTTTCCCGCTCTTCCAATGCCACAATGTCCCTTACCTTGAAAACCACTGACAATAATCCAAAGAACAGGGAGAAACTGACCTTTGGCTTCAAGTTTCATTCATTCCCTCAATCAATATGACAACCACTGTTCCGAGTGCTAGGCACACACCAGTGAACAAACCCAAGATCACTGCCCTAGGGCACTTACTATCCAACAGGGAGAAAACAGCCAATACCAGTAACAAAAATAAGTAATTACATGACAAATTAATTCGAAGGTGAGAGATGCTGGGTGGGGGAAGTAATGGGTAAGAGGATCAGGATTATCTAGAACAGGGGACAGTTCACACATTTATTTTTAACTATTCCAACAAACATTCATTCGTTATCCAACAAACATTTATTATTTTTTATGCAAATGGCAATGAGCGAGTGGGCAAAAATATAAAGAAGACTTGGTCCCTACATTCAAGAAGTCATTCTTGAGGGTGAGGTGGGTTCCTATGTAATTTTACACAAGAGAAGCCATGATGAGTGCTATGCAAGAGGAATAAGAAATGCAGGGCAGAGATCGGGATTCCAGCAGAGGAGATCGAGAAAAATGTGAAAGGGCAAATACAGCATGTGAGCTGCTCTTTCTTTGAAAAATGAGCTGGGCTTAGGTAAGAGAGAGGCCAAGGGGAACCACTGAAAGGTTTTGGATGAGAAGATGGCCAAAGCTCTGCTTTAGAAAAATTAATCTGGTGGAACTCTAAAAGGTGGATTGGAGAAGAGAGAAACCAGAGCCATGGGGTGTATGTAGAAAACCCAGAGGTAGAACACACTGCCATTCAGGGGGAAAAAAAGGTTGTTTTCTGCAACTAAATTGTTGTATCATAAAAACTGTTTTAATTTTATCCCACAGTGGGCTCTAAAGAGGCAGCCAAGAAACAACTGCAGTCAAGTTAATCAAAATGAAAATGTAATGTTAAGTCCTACTGCTAGCTGGTGTAGTAAACACTCCAGTAAGAGGATTCAGAATGATTTTTAAAGCTATAAAGTAGTAAGAAACCAATGCCTATTTTTGAGCTTAGGTATTTTTTTTTTATTTTAACTGAGCTGTGTGCCTGCTTTAGGCAAAATAAGTTCCAGAAAAATTGTCCAGAAATAAAACTTAATATAATCACTTAAAATATCCCAGGGTAGGCCACTAATAGAGACATTACACTAAATGAATTCATAAAGTAAACAATTTTGTGACATAATTATTCTGTTGCTTAACTACTACATATAATGTACTAAAATTTACATATTTAACTCAATGATGTAGTAAGGAGAAGTCTAAAAGAACTGCATGTTAAATTCCAAAATATGTGAATGCCATCCTGAAATTTCCCCACATTTAACATGCTTCTGGGATATGCTTGGATTTTACTTGCCCCATTTGACCTTGATCCTTTCAACATTAAGTCTTACCTACCTGTTAAAATAATTTTTAACACTAGGATAACTAGAATCCATGAAACCTGCAAAGTTAGTCTGCTTTAAAAAAAAAGGATTCAATTTCAAAATCCAAAATAAATATTTATAAGCTGGACATGCACAAATGGGTAATTCTCTTTTCTGCTCCTTTGGCTTCTGGGCCAACAGATCTCCTGAGCCACCTTTCTGATTCCTGCTTGCTATTTTCTCTCAGTGCTTTCTCCTCGACATTTGCCATAACTGTAGGAGTTATTGAGGCTCCACCCCTTAGCCTGTTCACCCTGTCTCCTCTACAATCTTACATATTTCTAAAGAATTAGTTGCAGACAACTCCGAAATCCTTGTTAATACCAGTTGCTAACTTTTATTCTGAGTCCTATTTGTCCCTCTGCCCTTCATTAGGCATCATATATTCAATCACCACACACTTATTGAGGGCCAATTATGTTCTAGGACCTGGACACTTGGTAACAAACCATGTACCTGTGCTTGTGGAGTGGACCTTTTGGCTGGATTTTCCATCTTTTCTTTCTTTCATTTTCTTTTATTGAGACAGAGTCTTGCTCTGTTGCCCAGGCTGAAGTACAGTGGTGTAATCTCAGCTCACTGCAACCTCTGTCTCCCAGCTTCAAGCGATTCTCGTGCCTTAGCCTCCCAAGTAGCTGGGATTACAGGCATGCACCACTATACCCAGCTAATTTTTGTATTTTTAGGTTTTACCATGTTGGCCAGGCTGGTCTCAAACTCGTGGCCTCAAGTGATCTGCCTGCTTCGGCCTCCCAAAGTGCTGTGATTACAGGAGTGAGCCACTGTGCCCGGTCTCAATCTTTTTATTCTCCTAATGTATTTAAATATTGTTGCAGATAACATTTTAAAAAATGAAAATGTAGTACTACTCACATGCCTTCAACAGTTCCATTCATACAGAATGAGGCCCTGAGTCCAATACTCAAGGTCCCCATGATTTATTTCGAATAGTTTACCATCTTATGTTACCCCCTCCCGCTCCCAACCTACACAAAACCCAAAGGGACTGTTCCCTGCTTACATACATGCTGTATTCTCACTTATATGAGCCCTCTGCTCACTTCAGTTTCCGTGCCTTGGCCTTTATCTCTCAATCCTTACTTACCCAGTTCCTCACCCTAACTCAAGTGCTACCTTTGTGAATGTCTTCCTGATCCTAATCTTTCTTTGTTTTTGTTTTGAGCCAGGTTCTTGCTCTGCTGCCCAGTCTGGCGTGAAGTGGTCCAATCACAACTCACTGCAGCGTCAACTTCTCAGGCTCAAGTGATCCTCCTGCCTCAGCCTCCCAAAGTGCTGGGATTACAGGTGTGAGCCACTGAGCCCAGCCCTGGTCCTAATCCTACTCATTTAAACCGCACTGATTTTATAGCTTTGCTTAC